TGCCCCCCCACCCCCCCACCCCAAACCCGCACCCCGCTCCCAAAACCGCCCCCAGATCGGATGACACCACGTCCGAAAAAAATCGGTCGGGCCGGCTGCGGCCGGGGGGGTCCCGGCCTAGGCCACCGGCCGTGGCCTGGGCCAAACTCGGCCGCGGCCAGCGTGCAACATAGGTTAGGACTGCCTTGGGCGATGACGGTAGGTGCCCGCATGCATTTCGATTCCAAACAGTTGGTGCTCACACAAACAGGAGGAAAGGCTTAGACAGTTCCATTATGGATTTCAACCCGAACAGTAAAAAAGAATCATAATCCTGCGCGGATAGGGATGATTCAAGGTCCCGATCACGAGGAATTTTCATCCCCGGATAATAGTAGCGGATTCGAAGAACAGGAGTGCGAAGAAGAGATGCCTAGCGAGAGTGAATGGAAACACTTGGTTGAACATTTCGAGCACGAAACCCCCGAGGAATTTCGGATGATTCCCAGAGCCGCCCGAACCTTCCACTTGAGTCTGGAAGACAGCGCGCTCGCACCTATGGAAACCCACGTTAGTCCTTCGACCTTTCTCGGAGAACCTATCTTGCAAATATCTGACCTGGCAGACGATTTGGAACCCCCTCGCGCTTTGTACGAGGGAACACTTTCCCTTCGAGCACGTTATCAACAGGTGAAACAATACCTGGATGTCTCTGCTTCCCCTCCAAGGTCACTACTTACGACAGGAGCGACCATCGCGCTGATTAAACAAGAAGCCGAAGCTCCTGTCGACGATGTGCCCGATCTGATGCAGAAAATGGTGGATCTAACGGGACTAACCGTGAAAGAAACCTCGGCTGATTCGGAAACTGACACCGAAGATAAAGAGACCGAGATGATTAGCCCCGTTGAATCCCAGATGATCGCGACTGTATTTTCTGTCTGCACTAGCAACTCTATTTTCTCTAGCGTCCATGACCGACGGAATCGGCCTGCTGATTGGATCGATATGCCTCTTGAGATACCCGATCGACCGACTGTCACTGTACCCGATCACGTCCCCCTGGAATTTCGACAATCACTAATTATCGTCTTGAATGGGTATGTAGAGGAATTAAGTGTGCACGATAATGATATTGGGTTGTCTAACATGATCGAGCATGCCATCCTTATGGGAGATCATCCACCCATTAGCTGCGCTCCCTATTGATACTCGCCAGCACAACGGGCGGACGCGTTTCAGCGAATTAAGGAATTTGAAGTTAATGGATGGATCGAACCCGCAATAGGACCTTGGTCGTTTCCTGTGGTAATCGTGCCCAAAAAGGCCGGAGGGATTCGCATATGCATCGATTATCGAAAACTGAATGATATCACGATCAAAGATGTGTATCCCCTTCCCCGGATTGATGAGCTGTTGGATGCGATTGGGAGTGCTCGATTTTTCAATAAGTTTGATGTTCGACATGGGTTTCATCATCTTCTTGTTCGAGAGGAGGATCGTCCGAAAACAGCTTGTGTGTTGCTCGAAGGTACTTGGCAATGGATTCGATGTCCAATGGGCATCTGCAATGCTCCAGCAACCTTCCAGCGAGCCATGAATATGGTTTTTCATACTTTGTGCGGAAGACACGACTGGCGCAGAGCATCATCAATTATTGTGTGATTGTGTACATCGATGATATTCTGATGTATTCAAGTTCCTACGAGGGGCATATGCAGCACATGGAATGGACGCTGCATGCATTGAGAGATGCCGGTTTCAAGGTGGCGCTTGAGAAATGTCAGTTCTTTCTCACCACCATCTCCTTCCTGGGACACGTGGTGACCGATCAGGGACTGGGACCGGAACCGCAAAAAGTGGCAGCCGTAAGAGACGCGCCTGTGTCCACGACTATCACGCAAGTTCGTACCTTTTTGGGCCTGGCCTCGTACTACCGAAGGTTTATCAAGGGCTTCGCGGCTGTTGCGGAACCCCTCACGAATCTGCTAAAAAAGGATCAGCCGTTGATCTGGACGCCAAAGTGTGGTCAAGCGTTCTCGAAACTCAAGGCAACCCTTCTTTCGGCTTCGGTTCTTATAAGACCGGATCCTGCGAAGCCTTTTGTCCTCATCACGGACTGGCAGCCGGAGGCAATCTCAGCGATCTTGGCCCAGGTAGGACCCGGCGAACTCGAATGCGTGGTAGAATACGCGTCTAAGACGGTGCCTGCCTGCAAACGCAACTACGCCGCCCCGACAGGAGAATGGTATGCGGCTCTGTGGGGAATCAGTCACTTTTGAGCCTATTTGTATGGGCGAAAGTTCACGCTCGTCATCGATCATGAGCCATTATCAGCCCTGAATAAATCTAAGGATTACTCGGGCATGATCAGGAGGTGGGCAACGGTGCTGCAAAGCATGGACTTTGACATTCGTCATTGGAAGCACGAGAGGCATGGGAATGCTGACGGGTTGACACGACTGCACCGACCCGAGAAGGTCCTCAAGAGCAAGGAGGTGATTCTGTGGAACGAGCCGAAGGAGGAGAGCGGACCGCGGTACGGACGAATGGAAATTTTGTCGAAGGAGTGACTAACACGGAGCTTCGCTCTGCCCTTTCTGCAGCCCTGCTCACTCTCTCTCCTCCCCTCTCATCATGACTACCCCACCAGTCTCTGCGACCACTTCTTCCCCTGCTGATTCCGACCCTCTCGCCTATCCTTTTGAGACTGGATTCGTTGAGTGGGTGAACTGTGCCGCATGTGTCAATCGAACACACGGTGCCTGCGTTCGATACCGAACAAATAGTAGGGAATGAAAATGCCCTCTGTGTAGAACGGACAAACTTCCTACTTAGGTTCGATTCGAGGCTGCCCATACGGACGACCCTGAATACGACGAGAAATACCGACGAGCAGAGGTCTGGACGGATAAAATCCTATTAGCTAAGCTGGCTGGTTTACCATTGGATCATCTCACTAAGCACGACAGACGTCGGGCTACTAAGAGATCTCGGGATTACCGATGGATCAACGGTCACCTAGAAAAGCGTAAAACTGGCGGATCGGGTTTGCGGTTGACGGTTCCCCATCCATTCCAGAGATATGATTGGACCCGATCTGCTCACGAAGAGCAGGCCGCTCACTTCGCGATACGTGTCACGGAGGCAACTATAGATCATAATCGATGGTTCTGGCCTAATATACGAGATGATGTCAGATACGTAGTCGTCAAGTGTCTGGTCTGTGCCGCCGATCGCGCCCCAATACGGGGACCAAACACGATAGTACCGACAGAAGTAGAGCGCCATTTCCAGCGAGTCGGTATGGACACGACAGATATCGGCGTGCCACCTGGCCCAAACCGTTGTGAATATTCTATCCTTTTAGTTTTAATAGACCATTTTTCCAAATACATCGAGGTATACCCCTGCAAGACCCGTAAGGCCGTTGAGATAGCCACGTACATCGATCGGTTTCTCTATACTCACCTAGATACGGAAAAAATTCTAACCGACAATGGGTCTGTATTCAAAGGCGAGGTAGAGGAATTACTCGCACGACGAGGCATTACGCTTCGACACACGGCTCCCCACGTTTCCCAGTCGATTGGCCGAAAATGCCAATCGCATGATTAAGATTGCCCTTCGTAGAAACTTAGTGGCGCATGACACGCGTCCTTGGCCCGAGATCGTATACCAAATCATCGGAATTCACCAGGCCACCCCTCATGAATCCACGGGGTTCACCCCCTTATAGCTTCGGACCAATAGCCTCCCATGTGTCGATTACCGGGGCAACTCGGAAATTGCCGAAGCCGGGGGTAGAGACACTCGTGCCGCCCTTAAGGCCAAGGCCAAAAGGTATGCCGATTTAATGGAAAGGGCCGTTCCGAAGCTAGCCCGAAAAAGACAGAAAAAGACTGATCTAGCCCACGGAAGGCAAGTCCGTAGCTACGAGGCCCGGAATGGAAACGTCGGCCCGCAACATCAATATAAATTAGGGGACCTGGTGCAGGTATGTAAATGTGCGCGAGACCGGAAGCTCGCTCCCAAATTCTCTGGCTGTTTTCGCGTTGTCGAGCTCGGACCCAACGGTGCCAATACGGTGCGCATTGCGCCCGAAGCCAGCACCAGCCATAGCTCTGTCCCTATCGTCCGCCATATCTCTTACATCCGTCTCCTCCCTCCTTCTCATCTTCCTCCGTCTCTCTCTTTTGCTGAAGACGAGGACGACGACGATCTAGCTCTCGCCTCGTTCTCCCCCTCTTGTTCCCATTCCTCATCTTCTTCCCCGTTCTCGCCATGAGTTTCATCACGGAGCAAACTCTTGGCAATCATCCGCTGCAGCCATGTGGCTATATCTCTGAGATCCGGCAAGTTCGTCATCCGCGGCTCAGTCCTGATCTTCAAAGAGTGGCGCAGTTCTTCTACACCGAGGGAGTGTGTGCCGTTGCTGCGTTCCGATTCGCCGGGAGTCGGCAGGCAATAGTATTGGCGGAGGTGGTGGCACTTCATCGACGAGCGGCTCCAGGGACGAGCCATGTCACCACGGTCGCTGCCTTCAGCGGCGACATCAGCACGGTCAGCCCACTTCGACATACTGCGATCTTGACCTCTTTACGAGAGTGGACGCAACAGTTCTCAGCTGCGTGGCATCACGGTCTTGCGCGTCCGGGGAACAATCTGATCCTGACATCCGGGACTGACTTCGACGGAATTCGCACCTCTCCTCGCCAGCCGGCATTCGTGCTCCCCACCCTCATCCCCTTCCAACGCCCCCAATGAACCGCGCCGCTCCTCTCGCTCCTCTCTCCACCTTTGGCCTTCCCTCTCTCTTCCCTACCTTCTGGCAATCCGATCTCCATCCTCGCCTTTCTTTCCTGCTCGAGCCTCTTGCCATCCCGCTCCTTCATCCCAGGCATTGGCAGGTGTGGCGCGAGACCTTTGTCGATCTGTCTGTGTGCTTGGCTTGAGTGCAGGTGACGTGGACGCGGACCAGCGAGCATCCTGCGTGCATCAAGTACCTGGAGCTGTTGATCCTACAGGCTTGGAGAACTGACGTGGAAGGTGATCTTCTCGGTTTCCTCTTCGGATCGGTGCGGCCAGGCAATCGCGAGCCAATTACTCAAGAACTCGTGGTCCCGCCCGCGCAACTGGCTGACGATCTCTCTCTCGACATCGTTTCGCAAAGTGACAACAGTCCGACTCCGCACGTCATCACGCGGGCATTAGCGCCGTATCTTCAGTGGACTGCATGCTTGGAAGAACACGGGAGTGAAAGCACTCTGCCATCGCGGCAGGAGTACTTGAAGACGTACGGAATCATCGATCGTGCCTTCTATCCGAAGGAAGATCCTGAGGAAGCGCTTGAAGGGGAAGAAGAATCCATCGAAGAAGAGGGCGGCGCCGACGAAGAAACGTCGGAGGAAGGAAGTGATAGTGAGTACAGCAAAGGGGAGCAGAGTGAAGAAGAAGAAGAAGAGGAGGAAGCTGGATCGGAGTGGGAGGCCTTACCAGAAGAAGCGGCGCGCAAGGGCACGGAGGCGGAAGATCCCGAGGCGGCACGTAGAAGGGAAGAAATCGCCGTCGGGAAAAGCCAGTTGGAGTTCGCCAGCGAGGCGAACCTGCGCATTGACGACGACCCGACCAGGGATCCAGAGCCCCCCGAGCCCGAAGACGGCGGCCCAGCAACCGCGGCTCCGAGCGCATCGCGACGGAGACGAAGCCGATCCCCCTCCCCCTCCACCCCAGCCCATACCCCAGTTCATCCACGTACCGATGCGGGGAATTGGCCTTCGTCCCCGGTCATTATCCCGCCGTCCCCTTGATTACCTCACCCTCTGCCAGATCTCTACCCCCGTCACCTTCCCTCGCAACCCCTTTCCTCCCAATACCTTCCATCACTTTTACTCCACCCGTCTCGCCGTCACCGTCCATCCCCACCCTTCCCTTCAATCCGCAAACCCCACGTTCTGTTTGCACGTCCTCTTGTTCAACACCGTGTGGGAACAGAGTAACGCAGTAGAAGTCTACTGCGTAATCACAGGAACCATCTCCGCGTGTCGCCATCACGAGTTGTTCCGCGCGGCACTCTTCCGCACTTTCTCCACCTACCTCGCCTCCCTCCCCCATAGCGGCGATCGGTTTCCCCGATTTCACCGGATCATCCGCTACGAGGAACTTCTCATCACAGAGGAAGGGATGAAGTTCCGATGATTCAGAACCGCTTCTTACCCCCACTCCCCCCCAACCCTCCCCGTCGACTCCCCCCCATGTATAATGTCTACTTTCCCATTCCCACACGGCGTTGATACCCGCCACGTGTCCTCCGAGCAGTACGAACCAGCAGTTTCGCGAAGATCCCGCATTTGACGATGACGTCAACTTATGCTCTGATTCGATGGATTGTGCTGGACTTGGGGTGCAGAGCACACGAAGATTTGATGGACCATGATGGTGCCACCTGGACGATCTCCGCAGTTCGAAAGACAAGGGGTTGCATATGGCAGGACTGCGGAGGACGGGGAATCCAAGTCAGCATGAGCCGGCATGCAGATCTTGCCACGGACGTTGTCGTCGACACATGCCCCAGCTCAGTTTTCTCCGCTGACATTGTGCCGATCTAAGCCTCCTACTTCTTCCTGCTTCTTCGTTTTCTCCTATTCCCTTTGTTCGAGCTTTCATGCAATCGGGAGATTGCATAATTTTGGAACCCCCTGCGCGTCACATATGTGACGAACCACTTCCCAACCCCATGCTATCTTTCGTACCCCTTGACTCAATACTCCTTTTTGTATCATACCGACCCCACAGAACCCCCGTCACTTTTCTTGATTTCAGGTGCCTTGTTTAGGCCTCCATTTTTTTCGGAAGTTGTAGTGATTCTTGGAATTCTGCTTTTTGTAATTCGGGAAATACACGGGAAATTACGCGCGTCTGAGCGAGTGCACTGGGAATCGGGCTCGACAGTTAGGAATTACGGAATAAGCAGAGCCCGACGTATCTTTTTCCTTGCATGAATGTTCTCGGTCACGTCGGAGAAAGCTTTAGGAATTTTGTAAGAAGATGGATAGGCATAGGAATTTTTTTTCCCGCGTCGACTTTCGCGTGCGGATATGGCGATTTCAATTTTTGAATTCATAGGCAAGCTGTAACTGTTTTGGTGCCTTTTTCCTCTTGTTGTCGGCGCCGCGCATGCGAGCTTCCTCCTCCTTATTTCCCGCGCCATTTTTCCCCCACACTCTCTCCTCTCTCCTTTCCCCCTCCTCTTCTTCTCCTATCGCAATTGTTTTTCCCTCTCTCTCTCTCTCTCTCTCTGCTTTTTGCGCGCCTGTTTCCTCTTCTTGATCATCTGAATCTTGGACACGTCTCGCGCTGCTTTTCACGCCTCATCTCTTCTCGCTCTTCAACCTTGGCTCACGAAGCCCGGTTGATCCTCCGATTACCCCGGCTCACCAATCAGACGCGTTGAGTAAGAGGATTTTCCTATTGCGCGACGAATCTGATTGGCCGACTATCGGGTTCCGAAGGATCAACATGGTTTCCCTTGAGCAACTTTCGCTGAACCTTCTTCCTTTACACCTCGATCTCCCCTATGTCCCCTCCCCCATCTATCTCCTTTCTCGCAACTATAAATTCCGCAAGCCCGCCCGCAAAGCTCTCTTACGTTTTCCACTCGCAAGCCAACTTCCGGGAAGCAGTGGCTAGGTGAGGCGTTTGGTTCGAGTCAAAAAGTCATGTTGGGTTGACTGTAGGCTGGCCGGCTGCGCGCTTGATCGTCACGACGTACTGTGGGATCCAGGCGAGCCGCGTCGAGCTTGCGTCGGCGGGGTGACGATTGCAGTGGTGGAAGTAAGCACGTGACGGCCGGGATCGTCGGTGCGGGGGTGAGGATCGATAATTGGAGTTGAGTGGATGATTGGCCCGGGGCCATACTGGAATTTTACGGCGAATGCGCCTTCATTGTTGCGGATTAATTTTTGGTACGAGTTTATGGCTGTGAAGTCGGACGTTCCTTTGTCAAAGTCCAGTATCTCCTGTTTCGACATTTCTCGTCTCTCTCTCTCATCTCTCTCTCTCTCTCTCTCTCTCTCTCTCTCTCTCTCTCTCTCTCTCGCCTGTCTCTTATACACATCTAGATGTGTATAAGAGACAGTCATAATCCTGCGCGGATAGGGATGATTCAAGGT